AGTTCTTAACCAATGCGCCACTCAGCCGGCCCTCTTTTTTTTTTTTAAGATTTTTTTTTAATTGGGGAATTGGGGGGATGGGAACAGCGCTGGGGAATTGGGGGGAAGGGGAACAGACAAGTTGCTGACCTTTTGTTCTTCAGTCTAGTCGTGGAGGATGTTGCTTTACTGGCCCATGTTGGTAATATCATTGCGCTCTTCCCGGGTGAGGCAGATTGGTCGCTGGCCTCTAGACAGCCACTCACAGCGGCTCCTGGCAGCTCACACTGGCTGCGGGCCGCTCACGTTGACTGCTGGCTACACACGGTAGCTTATGGCAGCCCCACTGCAGCAGGGGCTGCAGCCTATGCCGTCGCCAGCGACCCACGGCAGCCCAGCTTCAGGTGAAGCTGTTGTTCACCATCTTAGCTGTAGAGGGCAGTGGCACTGGCCCTCATATGTGGGATCTGAACCAGGGTCCTGCTGCTCAGAGCTGGCATCCCAAGCCAGCTCTTAACCAGCACGCCACTTGGCCGGCCCTAACACAGTGTTGCATAGCAGTGGTAAAAGCAGACATCTGTCTCTTATTCCTGATCTTGGGGGAAAGCTTTCAGGCAAACAGAATTCTACTGAAGGCTCATTATGTGCCAGACTCTGGGAGATAGCAGCACATAAGACAGACAAATACCCTTGCCCCCGGGAGCTTACATTCTACCAGATTGAGAGAGAAACAAGGTAAGTAAGGAAAGGTGAGGTAGGCGGACAGTGGAAAGTGCTAACCAGAAAAATGAAGCAGGGAAGAGTGATGAGGGAAGTAGAGAAAGGGTGGGGGGTGCTCCAGGTTTTAAATTGGATGTTCGGGGAGGCCTCACTGAGAAGGTGACATTTGAATAAACTGAAGGAAGTAAAGAAGGGAGGCAGCCACAGGGAAATCTAAGGGGAGAACATTCCCGGCAGAGGGCACAGCAGTGCCAAAACGCCAAGGGGAATGTGCCTGGCCTGTCCAAGGAACACAAGTCGCCAGAGTGGCAGAAGTGGAGCAAATACAGAGGGGAGAGATGTTTATTGCTCATCTCTTCAAACTCTCTGGGAGCGGGCACTGCCTCTGTCTGATTGACCTCTGCATCCCCAGCCTAAGAGTGCCTGACACATAGTAGGCACTCAATAAACATCAATGAAATGAATAACAGTGACTTAGCACAGTGCCTGACACATAGTCCATGTGGTCACCAGGGTGGGCTTCGAATGGCCCCATTTTGCAGCTCCCCAGATGAAGCTTGGGTCACTTAAGACCATAATTCTTAAAATTGCCGAATTCAACTTCTACATCCAGACCTCCCTCACCCCCATAGTCACACAGAGGAAAGGCCTGGCCATCTGTATGGCGAAGAAGTCTCTCAGGGGCCGGCCAAGTGGCTCAGTTGGTTAAGAGTGCGAGCTCGGAGCAACAGGGTCACAGGTTTGATTCCCACATGGGCCAGTGAGCTGCGCCAGATGGCGACTGGACTTGGGAGGTGAGCTAGCTGCACTCTCCACAGCTAAGATTGAAGGACAACAACTTGGCTGTTCCCCTTCCCCAATTCCCCAATAAAATCTAAAAAAAAAAGTCTCTCAGGATCCCATGCCCTTTTTTTAAGCTTCCAGCATGGGGAATGTGGATTTGAGGGGCAGCACACATGCTCACTCAGCATTTATTTGCACCTAGTGAGCGAAGCTCCTTCAGCACAGATGAGACTCCCCCGAACCCCAGCCCTGTACCCATAGTCTGGCCTTGTGGGAAATAAATTAAGCCACTCAGTGAACATATCCCATCCCCATGAGGCTCAGGCTGAATTCAGGCCTGGAAGTCAGGAGCCCCAGAGATGGAGGACCCAGCTGTAGGCCAGGTCTCCCTGAACTGGCTCTGAATTGGGGCACAGTACAGAGGGTATGGGTGCCAGAGTTGGGGCAGGTCTTGCAGCCCCCATCCCCGCCAGCCCTGAATGAGAAGCCTTGGGGTCTGCTCGGGCCTTCCCTGGCTCTTCTGCCTGGCCGAAGTCTCTATCAAGTGTCCTCTGTTCTCTGTGTCAGGGGCAAGGCCTTGCTCAGGTGTCTTGAGGGCTGTTGGCTAACCAGTGCCTCTGCCCATGTCATAGGGAATGGCACCCCTAGTCATAAAAGTCATAAAAACCAGAAATTGCGCATTCTCCCTGCTCAAGCCCTTCCAACCATCTCAACAGAGTCACTCTTCTCCCTCTTTCATCCTTTAGGGTTATTAGTGATAGGTATCAAATGTCATCTCCTTCAAGAGGCCTTCCTTGACTACCTCTCCCATTTATTTTTTTTTTTTTTATTTTTTTTAAAGATTTTTTTTTTATTTTTATTGGGGAATTGGGGGGATGGGAACAGTGCTGGGGAATTGGGGGAAGGGGAACAGACAAGTTGCTGTCTTTTTGTTCTTCAATCTAGTTGTGGAGGATGTTGCTTCACTGGCCCAAGTTGGCACCATCATTGCTCTCTTCTCTGGCAAGGCAGATCAGTCGCCGGCTTCTGGACGGCCGTTCACTGCGGCTGCTGGCCGCTCACGCTGGCTGCTGGCTACATACGGTAGCCCATGGCAACTCACTGCCACAGGGAGTGCAGCCTACGCCGTCGCCGGCGACTCATGGCAGCCCAGCTCCAGGTCGAGCTGCCGTTCCGCATCTCAGCTGTAGAGGGCAGTGTCACTGGCCCTCATATGTGGGATCCGAACTGGGGCCCTCTGGCATCCCAAGCGAATTCTTAACCATCGCGCCACTCGGCCGGCCCCCTCTCCCATTTAAATCACCCCTCTGCGACTTGCTCAAAGCTTCCAGTTGTTTTGCTTTCTACCACTTCTTGGTTGTTGTAAATATCACCTGGTTGTTTTCCAATGCCTGCCTCCCTTACTGCAATCCAAGTCACATGAGGGGCGAATCCATCAATTTTACTCACCTCTGAATCTCCAGTGCCTAGAATACATGCTTGCATACACCTAGCACTTAAAACGTGTTTGTGAATAAATAACGAACCCAGAGCTCACTTCTCTGAGTCAAATTCCAGCTACATCTTTGCCCAGATCCGCCCCTCTGTCCTCAGCCCGCTGGCTGGGGCTGGGGTCCATTTGCCCTCTCTGGACCTGGCTTAGACTTGGAGCTCAGTGCCCCCAAGTCCCTTACCCCTGGGGGGCTAGGAGTCTTCCTGGTCCCCACCTTTGTCCCTAGCTCCTGCAGCTGAACCCAGAATGTCAGCCTCAGCAATCCTCTTGGCTTGAGCCCCTGATTTGTGTGCCCCCACCCAGGCGGTCTTCATTTGGCTGCCTGGCTTGGCGCTCCTGCTCAGCCAGGCCTGCCAATCAATGCCCTGGGTCTGTCCTGTCCACTTGCTAGTGCCTGCCTGGCCTGGTTTCCTCCCAAATGCACGACCTTCAACCCTGACCAGGCCACTCAGCTCAGCGAGACCTCCTATTTGCGTGTCATCTCCTAGGGAGGTAATATTCCCAACCTGCCACCACCCTTTGATACCACAGGATGAATCAATATACAATAGTTTATACAACTTTCAACTATTTTGTATTAGTGCAATTATGTTGCATTGCTTTGTGTGTGTGTGTGTGTGTGTGTGTGTGTGTGTGTGTGTGTTTAGAGTTAATGTGTTATCTGTAAACATTTCAAAGCTATCTTTTTTTTTCAAAGCTATCTCAGCTTTTCTTTATTTTTCAATTTCCTCTGGAACAGCGTGAATGAGAGCGGGTAAGCACACAAGTGTGATAGTGGAGACATCTGTTGACAGCGGCACATGTTTTGAAAGAAGCTCAATATGCCCATTAACAGAGGACTGGTTAATTAAATTAGGATACATCTACACTGTGGGATTACTATTCTGCTCAAAACACTAAAAGTATAAGGGAACTCCTTATTGTATGTGCATGGAGCATGTGCATGGAGCACACCTGGAAGGATATGAAAGACACTGGTGTCACTGGCTGCCTCCAAGGACGAGACATGGGGTGTCTGGGGACAGGTGGGGGTAGACTTATAAGGCAGGGCTTTGAACACACTTTTGAATTTTGAACGATGGGAATACTTTACCTAGTCAAAACCAAACGAAATCAAAAGCTCAAGGCAATTGCGAGTACCTGACACAGTAGACAGTATTGCCGGGTCTGCCTTCCTCAGCTCAAGGAGACCCAGTCGTGCCTCAGCAGCCTCCTTACGTGACCCCTAGTGGGAGCCCCAGGAAGCCTGTGTGTGTTTCTGGGGAGGCAGGGAGGTGGATGTTTCATAAAAGAGCCTGTGTCAGCTGGCACTTCCGCTGGTCTCAGCTAGGTAGCCATGGCTATAGGAAAGCTGAGAGAGGCCCACCTCCACTATGGCACCTTTCTCAAGGCCTGTTATAGGGTGAACAGTGTCTCCGAAAATGAATGTTTTTGAATATTTGAAATCCTAACTCCTAGCACCTCAAAATGTGACCTGTTTTGGAAATAGGGTCACTGCAGCTGTAACTAAGATGAAGTCATGCTGGAGCAGTGTGGGTGCCTAATTCAATATGACTCCTGTCCTTAATTAAAAGGGGAAATTTGAAACACACACACATACAGACAGAACACCATGTGAAGATGAAGGCAGAGACTGAATTGGTAAGTATAAGCCAAAGAACATCAAAGATTGCCCATAAACCACCAGAAGCTAGCAGAGAAGCATGGAGCAGATTCTCTTTTATGGACCTCAGAAGAAACCAACCCTTGATCTTGAACCTAATACCTTGATCTTGGACTTCCAGGCTCCAAACTGCGAGAAAATAAACCTCTATTGTTTAAGCCACCAGTCTGTGGTGGCACTTTGTTCTAGCAGCCCTAGGAAACAAATACATGGGGTTTCTAGGGAACCCGGCAAAACTGTGATTTCGGCCCCACCGACTGAATTAGAATCACCTGAACCCTCAATTAAATCTGGATTTCACTGTCCCAGGCTTCCAAGGCTGTCTTTGATCTCTAAGAGAGCCCACACCAACCTGCTACTTACTGTTGTTGTAAGTCATGTCCTTGGAGACTATAGTAGGCAGGACCTTGGACATCCCAGCAGACGAACGAGGAAGGGCTTGCTGCAAAACTTGACCTCGGCTAAAGGAGATTCCAACCTGGGGAGTGACACAGTGCTTGGCCAGATGGTCTCCAGACCTACAGCCCCCCTTCCCCTGGGTAGCTGAGAATAGCTGGCATTTACTGAGGGCTCATCATGTGGCCAACACTTGCAACGCCTCCACCCTCTTCCCATCCTCTCTCCCCTCCCTGACTTGGTACCAGCTGCCCCGCCTAATCTTTCTGTTGCTAGAACACACCAGCCATGTTCTGCCTCAGGGCCTTTGCATTTGCTGCGTCTTGGGCCAGAAAAAGTTCTCTCACACCCAGCTGTGGGTCGAGGGTTCTCTCCCTTCAGATTTGAGTTCAAAGGTCACCCCTTCAGAGCTGCCTTCCCACACAATCCCATTTAAAGTGGGTTCTTTCCCCCTACCCCCACATGATCTCACTTTGTTTTCTTCTCTGCAATTACCCACTATCTGATTTATCGCTTTAAAAGCCGAATTTATGGCCTATTTCCCCTTAGAAAGTAAGCTCCTTAAGAGCTTACAGGAAGGGTCTTTCCATATGCAGCGCATGCACTCATCAAAGCGCCTGGATGTCCTTAACATTGAATGACTTTTCATTTTGCAGAGGAGGAAGCAAAGCAGAGATTCAGCGAAGTGTCCAAAGTCAGCCAGGAAGAACGGTAGTTGGGATTCCAGTCTAAGATTCCTTGACTCCAAAGCTTGATCTCTTCCAACCACATTCTTGCTACACTCTACATGAACAGGAATCTGGGTACCACCCAGGCACGAGTTAGCAGGGACCAGCCTCCTCACTCCCAGCTCGGCGGGGATGTGCTGTCGGGCCATAGAACAAGGGTGCACAAGGCATGGAGGGACAGAGGGATGGCTAGGTAAAGCAAGTATAGTAACAGGAACACAGGGCGGGGAGCCTTGCAAAAGGGCCTTGCGAGGGGCCCGCTTTCGGCCCTGCGCGCAATCCGACCCCGCGTACCCCCAATCACTGCCCCGCGCGCACCCACCGGCCGGCACTCCTGGGCTCGCTCCGAAGCTTGGGTGCGGCGGTTTCTAACTATGCGCTAAGGCCTTCGGTTTACGTCGCCATGGCAACTATTCTCCTGAAGTTTGGGGCTGTGACGTCACAAAGGCTGCGGAGGCCGGGCCGCGTAGGGGTGGAGCCTGTAGACCGCTGGGTGGGCAGAGGAAAGGCCCAGAGTCCAGCTGCTTCAGCTCCCCGGGCGCCGCCAGGACAGCGCCTGGTCCAGGATGGGGTCTGGAGAGCAGGAGTTTCCTTCCTCAGTAAGTCATTATTCCGCTCTCCTGCTTTCTTTCATTCCCTGATTCACTGTTTTAACGTGCTCCTCCAGATGCATGCGATTTTTTCTGCGGAGTGGACTTCACTTTCTCGAGGGACGGTTCTTAAAGTGCACTCCCAGGACTTGCAGCTTCAGAAATGCTGGGAACTCATTACAAAAGCCAATATTCAACCCTCTCCTGAAGCAGAAGTTCTGGGGGGTGGAGCCAGCATGCAGTCGGCTTGATGTAAGCCCTCTTGGTGATTCCCAAACTGGCTAAGTTTGGAGAACCACTGCTCCAGAGTGTGCATGAGACAAAGAATAAAGACACAATGACAAGTTCTGTCAATAAACAGAGGGTAGGGGATGAGGTCATGAAGAGCTGGGATCCAGCTTAGATCGCCCAGATTCACCCGCTATTATGGCTACAGAACCAGGGTCTGCCCTCTTCCCCGAAACTCAGCGCCCGTGTTCCCACAAAGCAGCAGGAGACCTCTCTGAGTTGGGATTATAGTCACCAGATTTTCCCATGCATCTCGGGATCTATAACTGACAAAGGCTGTTTGGAGCTGGACACACAGTCAGGGCTCTGTCTGTTCAAGGACATTTAGGAGTCTCAAGGACATTGGGGCAGTCTGCAGGCCAGTAATGTGCCAGTGAGAATGTCAACAACTCCTAGCTATGCCCAAGGCAGGTGTAATGAGTGTGGTGACCAGTCCCAAGGCAGGAACTCTGGTAGAGCCAGGGATGGGAGTGTGGAGAGGTTCCCGAAGGTGGAAGAAGCAGGAAAGCCTGAATCACCACTGGAGGACAGCGTCCCACCTGCAGTATTCATAGTAGGCTTTGTGCAGGGAGGAAGGACATTTTATTATATTAAACCACATATGTGATTTGTGCATTTGTGAGCACGTGCGTGTGTGTGCATATGTGTGTGGGGGAGTCATCCAGCATTAAATACCCTGAACAGACAAGTGGCTCCCCTAACCCCCAGGATAGAAGCTCTTTATATTGTCACTTGAAGTCCTAAGTGATCTAGTCCCTGCCTGTCTCTACAGCCTTACCTCCCTACTAACTGTCACAGACTAGAAAAACAGAAAGCTGTGCAGTGGAGTTAGGTTTCAGCAAACACTGTTAACTAGTGACTGAGATAGGAAAACAAACAGTTTTGAAATGGTTTATCTCAAGCACCAGGAGCTCTAATGAGACTTTTAGAAATCTAGAAAAGAGGTGACCCAAAGAGAGAAAAGCTAGTGAGCATGCTTCCAATTCACTGTTATCAACAGGAAGTTTATGGACCATTGTGAAGTTTCCAGGAACCCTTAGAGAGTGTTTCTACATGCCAGATACTGCATGAGGGAGTCACTGCAAAGTTAACAAATGTGCCCAGCAATGCCAGTGGTGTCAGAGACAGGATTCACAGGCAAGGGAATTCGTCTTTGCTCTTAAGCAGACACACACTGCCTCTCACCAGGAATTGTTCTATAATTTTATGCAATTACGCAAAAACAATTATGCATACACTTTGAAAAAAACGCAAGAAGTCCAAAGGTATACTTCATAGTAAGACAAGTTCTCTGGTCATTGTATGTGTTTTTGTCTTTGTTTTGGCTGTCAGTTATTTAGAAGGTTACAAAGAAAACCATCTAGAAAATGTGGCCTGCGTTGGAACTTTTAATCTTACCCTAACAACTCTAACTAGCAACACCATTTGCAGATTAAAAAGCTTACTTTTAAGCATAAGATGGCTTGATGGAGGCATGGATAGATGAGTAGCTTTGTGATGTGCTAATTGTAGAATCCAGGTGGTATGGATGTGGGTATTCACTACAAAATTCTTTCAATATTTCTGTAAGTTTGAAGTTTGAAGATTTTCATAATAAAATGTTTTTGGGAAAAGCTGAGTATCTTCTTAAATAGGAAATTTGTATTTATGATTTCATATTTTCCTCCTTGAATAAAGTGCATTAGTCAGGGTTCTTGGGAACAGACAACAGAAATCAGCTACAGCCAATTAAAGGGGAAATGAATATGGGGGCTCCTGGAATCTGCAGGGTGAAGAGGAGCCAGGCTGGGGGATGGTGTGGCCAGGAGCAGAGCCCAAAGTCAGCTGCAGGTGTGTCCTGGTGGAGACACTGAGGCTGTGAGTCTAGGTCTGGCTGTGTGATTCTGACTGGTAGAACCTGGGTGACCTGCCTGCACCTTATGTCTCATAGTCAAGAGTCTAAGAGTCCCTGCCTCCGCTCTGGCTGCAAGGGAGGTGGGAAATAGAGCTTCTACAGTGGGCGTGGGGTGTCCTCCAAACCCAAGAAGGGTGTTTAGAGGTACAGGTGATCTACCAGCAGGACAAGCAGCTTGTGTCTGTTCTCCACGGCACTGGCACTGGGTCTCTGGTCGCTCCTGTAGCACTGACTCTATGCCTTTGTTTTCACTCCCCACCTATTTTTGAAATGTCCTTTATTCTGAAGGCATTTTTTTTTCTCAAAATTCAGTTCAAGGGTCACCTCCCTGAAGCATCCTGGAACAGACCCATGTGGTCACAGCCTGCCTCCTCCAGGTCTGTTGCCCACATCTCCCAGGCACCCTGTATCTGTTGGCTGGGCAGGTGCAGCGGGTGGTAGATTGGAGGGTGGGAGATGTCCGTAGCCAGGGCACCTGTCCCCTCCCTTTGCTTTCCTGGCAGTGGCTCCTCCAGCTGTGGCTGCACTGGGTGGGCCTGTTGCTGTTCCAGCCCGTCAGAAGCCCTGGCTTTTGGGCTTTGAAACACTACCTCCTCCCTCAGCCTGCAGCCCTCGTGCAAATTTCTGATAGCCTCACCATTCCCGTTTCAGCATTTATCAAGTGTGTAACCAATTTTCTGTATTAAATTCCCTCTCTTTGAAAATCCTCCAGGGCTACTGTTTTCCAAACTGAAGCCTGACTGATACCCATAAGACAAGCAAGAGAGCATGGTGGCCAAGAGAATGGGTGGTGGCATCAGTCCTGGCTGGGTCCAAATTCTAGCCCTGTCCCTCACTGGCTATGTGACTCTGGGCAAGTTACTTAAGTGCTCTGGGCCTCAGTTTCCTCATTTATAAAGTGGGGATACTAATAATGACCTGGGAGGGATATTGTGTGGTTAACACAGAGCCTGACACCTAGTTGAGCCTCAATGCTTGTCTGCTAATATTGTATAATGGTCTGAGGAGTGTGTTTGAGGAGGTCCATCTGCAGGCCTGGTATGGTGCAGACCTGCCCACAGGGCATCCAGACTGGCTGCAGTGATCTCTGTGAGGAAGCTGAGGATCAGACACATTAAGCCATCTGCCCAAGGCCACTTAGCCCATAAGTTGCAGAATTGGCATTCAAACCCACACAATCTGACACCACAGCCCAGACTGTTAACCACCACATCCCCCACAAACGCCTCCTCCCCCACCCCCACTCTCTGCCCATCCCACTGGCCTGGGGAAAGGCAGTGCTCTACTGGTCTGTGGGGCCTGGGACTGGAGATGGACTCTGATGATTGCTCAGCCGGCAGAGTCCCTCCCCAACCCCATCTGTGCCTGTTGGCCTTGGGTGGTCTGACATCTGGGCCCATATAACTCAAGCTTACTTTAGAAGCTCTCTCTCAGGTGTGGTGCAGCTCATCACAGTATATAGACCTGGACAGCTTTTTATTTTTTATTGAGATATAATCGACATATAACATTATATTAGTTCCAGGTGTACAACGTAATGATTCTATATTTGTATATACTGCGAAATGATCATCACAATGTCTTGTTAACATCTATCACCACACACAGTTACAAAATTTTGTTTTCTTACGATGAGAACTTTTGAAATATATTCTCTTAGCAACTTTCAAATATGCAATACAGTATTGCTAACTATACGTGCCATCCTGTACCTTTCATCCCCATGACTTATTTATTTTATAACTGGAAGTTTGTACGTTTTGAATCTCTTCCTCCATTTTGCTCCACTCCCTCCCCCCACCACTGGCAACCACCAATCTGTTCTCTGTATCTATGAGTCTGATCTTTTTTTTTTTTTTTTAGATTTCATATATAAGTGAGATTGTACAGTATTTGTCTTTCTCTGTCTGACTTATTTCACTTAGTACAATGCCCTCAGGTCCATCCATGTTGTCACAAATGGCAAGATGTCCTTCTTTCTTATGGCTGAATAATATTCTATTGTACATACATCTCACATTTTCTTTGTCCATTAACTCACTGGTGGACACCGGTTGTTTCCATATCTTGGGTATTGTAAATAATGCTGCAATGAGCATAGGGATGCAGACAGCTTTTCAAGTTAGTGTTTTTATTTACTTTGGATATATACCCAGAAGTGGAATTGCTGGGTCATACGATAGTTCTATTTTAAATTTTTTGAGGACCCTTCATGATGTTTTCCACCAATTTACATTCCCACCAACAGTGCATGAGGGCTGCTTTTCTCCACATCCTCGCCAGCACTTGTTATCACTTGTCTTTATGATGATAGCCATTCTGACAGGTGTGAAGTATATCTTATTGTGGTTTTCAAATCATGGCTTTTTTTGGGGAACCGTACCTGCTGCTTCCACTTTACCAACTACATGTGGCTGTTAGCCCCTTAAGAGCCATGGTTTGCAGTACTTCTGTCTGCCATGTGTTAGGGGAAGCCGCCAAGTCCTGAAAGTGAGTGTGAAACACCATCCCATTCTCCTTTCAGGGCCTCCTCCCCACCCCAGTGCCCTCATCTGCCCTTGTGGTGCTCTGGACTGGCATCATTTTTATCTCACAGTCTTCAGACTGCTTTCCTGCCAGCTCAGATGGGCAGATAATTTGATTGGAGTCTGGGG